AATTGGTGGCTAGAAGGGGCTCATGGTAGCTGGTAGATGAGATGAGACACAACTGGTGGGAGACTATGCTGAGCAGAGAGCAGCATCACAGGAACATGGAGCAGGGACAAACCATCCCGATGTGCAGGAAGACTAGCAAGTATGGCAGAAGACCAGCTTGGCTTAGCAAGGAGCTCTACAGTAAAATAAGTCACAAAAAGGAAGCTTATAAGAAGTGGAAACTTGGATAAATAAGTAAGGAGGAGTATAAGAGCATTGCTTGGGCATGCAGGGATGAAGTCAGGATTGCCAAAGTGCAGTTGGAGTTGCAGCTAACAAGGGATGTGAAGGGTAACAAGAAGGGTTACATAAGTATGTTGGTAGCAAGAGGAGGATCAGGGGAAGTGTGGGTCCCTTACTGAATGGAGGAGGCAACCTTGTGACAGAGGATGCAGAAAAGGCTGAAGCGCTCACTGCCTTTTTTACCTCCACCTTCACAGGTAAGGTCAGTTCCCATACTACTGCACCGGGCAGTTCAGCAGCCTTCAGTTGTGAAAGAACAGGTTAGGTACTACTTAGAAAAGCTGGATGTGTACAGTCCAGGGGTCCAGACGGAATACACCCAAGGGTGCAGAAGGAGTTGGCTGATGTGATTGCAGAGCTACTGGCCATCATCTTTGAAAACTTATGGGGATCAGGAGAGGTCCTGGATGACTGGAAAAGGGCAAACATAGTGCCCATATTTAAGAAAGGGAAAAAGGAGGATCCAAGGAACCACAGACCAGTCAGCCTTACCTCAGTCCCTGGAAAAATCATGGAGCAGGTCCTCGAGGAGTCCAGTTCTAAAGCACTTGGAGGAGAGGGTGACTAGCAACAGTCAGCATGGATTCACCAAGGGCAAGTCATGCCTGACCAACCTGATTGCCTTTTGTGATGAGGTGACTGGCTCTGTGGATGTGGGGAGACCAATGGATGTGGTATACCTTGATATTAGCAAGGATTTTGATAAGGTCTCCCACAACATTCTCACAGGCAAGCTAAGGAAGGATGGGCTGGATGAATGGACTGTAAGGTGGAAAGAAAACTGGCTGGAGCATCAGGCTTAGAGGGTAGTAATCAATGGCTCGATGGCTAGTTGGCAGCCGGTATCAAGTGGACTACCCCAGGGGTCAGTCCTGGGGCCGGTTTTGTTTGGTGTGTTCATCAATAACCTGGAAAATAGCACAGAGTGCACCCTCAGCAAGTTTGCAGATGACACCAAGCATGGAGGAGTAGTAGATATGGTGGAGGGTAGGGCTAGGATTCAGAGTGACCTAGACAAATTGGAGGATTGGGCTAAAAGAAATTTCATGAGTCCTGCACAAAGTCCTGCACTTTGGACAGAATAAACCCATGCTGGGGACTGAAAAGAACCATGCTGGGGGTTCTGCAGAAAAAGACCTGAGGGTTACAGTGGACAATAAGCTGAATATGAGCCAACAGTATGCCCTTGTTGACAAAAAGGCTATCAATATACTGGGCTGCATTGGTAGAAGTGTTGGCAGCAGGTCAAAGGAAGTGATTATTCCTCTCTATTCAGTACTGGTGAAGCCACATCTGGAGTACTGTGTTGAGTTTTGGGCCCCCCACTACTGAAAGAGTGCGGACAAATTGGAGAGAGTCCAGCAGAGGGCAGCAAAAAATGGTGATGGGGCTGGTGGACACTGGTGAGGAAAACCTGGGGGAACTGGGCTTATTTAGAGAAGAGGAGACTGAGGGGATTTAATAACATCCTTCAGCTACCTGATGGGGGTTTGAAAGAGGATGGAGCTAGGGCTGTTTTTAGTGGTGGCGGATGACAGAACAAGGAGCAACAGTTGCAAGTTGCAGCAAGGGAAATTTAGGTTAGATATTAGGAAAAATGTTCTTACTAGAAGGGTAGTAAAACACTGGAACAAGTTACCCAGAGAAGTGGTGGAAGCTCCATCCCTGGAAGTGTTTAAGACCTGGCTAGACAAAGCCTTGGCTGGGCTGATCTAGTTGGGGATGATCCTGCTTTGAGCAGGGGTTGGACTAGATGACCTCCTGTGGTCCTTTGCAACTCTAATTTTCTATGATTCTAACATGACTCTCTGAAAGGCAGGACTAGCAGAGTGGCTGCTGTACAGAAGCTCCTGGGCCAGCAATACCATTGAGTTGTAAAGGCATCCTAGTACTCCTATCATTTTTCCTAGTACTGCTGTTGTTGCCTTGGTCACCTTGGGTGCATGCGTTGCTGACACCACCTAGCAATTGTTGAAGTGTCCTTGCATATTCCGAGCTTGTGATGAACAAACCAAAGGTGTTTAAGTTACCCTGTGACTTTGCTTTTTTCTGCCATTATTTTTTATCTAAAGCTTACTTCTATAAGCCCGTAACCCTAAGTGTGTGCTAGAAGGTAATGAACACTCAAAGCTGGAGTGATGGCTGAAATGGAGCATTTCCAGCATGGAGTTTACTAGTAATTCAAAATGGGAAATACTGGTTTCCCTTGCTCTTATGTGGGTTTTGTATGTACAAATTTGCTCTTATGCAATGACCCTTTTTATACCAAAAAATTTGTTATATGCAAAGTAAATTCACTCTTATGCAATTGGTGTAGCAGAAGCCCACAGTCAACTGCTTTGTGCGGTGCATTGTGAGAGTGACGTGCACCAAAATGTAGTCTCCTGTGTGGATCTGTGCTCCTCGCTCATTGTCTGCGACATGTATTTCTGTAGTTGCCATCCCCATTATGGTAACATTCACCACAACCCTGGGCTTGTGTGTACTGTCTGCTGTTGGTGAGTACCAAAATTGTCTTGTAAAAGTAGTAGAAATGGGTCTGGGGGTCAGTACAGTTGAGGTCTTGGAAAATATCCCTATTTTTTACGTTGTAAAGCGGGTTCCCTTTATGCAAATTCGAGTTATGCACTGTTTTCCAAGAACACATGTACAGCATAAAGTGAGGGAAACCTGTAATGAAGATGACTGTGGCTTACATAAAAGTCTGTTTTGTCTCTCTAAACAGCAGTTATTCTAGCATTATGTAAGCTATACTTCTAATAAAGCCACCATCAAGACAGCATGTATTGTCCATCCTGTTTGTTAATAGGATATTTTAGAAATGGAAAAAGTACAACAGAAGAGAGTCAGCAAGATAAAAGAACTCAGAGATCTTAATCTTCAGAAAGGTTAGAGAAGCTATTTGGCATCCTTTAAAAGGAGACTGTTGAAGGCAGGGAGCTCCAGTGAAGTGTTAGGGTTTTGGAAGGAATAGGAAAGCTATAATTAAGGTTTTTCAGGAAAAAGTCATTTATGAGACTAACTCAAAAGGGATGCAGATATCTGAAGTAAAGCTAATGATGGTATAGATTCTGACAGCTTCCTCAGTAGCTCACTAACACTGCCAGCTCTTCTGTATCGCTTCTGGATTAATAGTAATAAAATGTGTATTGTGTACCATCCAAAAAGGCCTCTCTGTGCTCCTTATGTCTGTCTGTAACAAATGCTAGTAGTGAAATTTGTGTGATGTGTACAGTAATATGTGGAACTTGTGTACTTTTTGGTGCCTTTGCTTTAATAACTCTAGGATTTCCTAAGGACTCCATGCCCCTTGCTGCTTTTTTAAACCAACAGAATTAAGTGTAATAGAGTTGCTTGAAGCAATAGGACAGATACCACTTTTAATGGATGGAGTTTTTTCTCTCTTTCTTGATATATGTGTAGAAAGGGGAAAAATCATTTTTAATACTGTAATACCATTGAAAAGAACATAAATTAATAAAGATAAGCTGATGTTAAGTGGGCATAGTTCTGTTTCTTTCAGTGCAGCTGTTCTAGTTCTTGTTAGTTGAAGATTTGGCCCAAAACATAGGAACTATAAGGTGAGTTAAGGACAAAGTGGTGCCTTAACTTGAACTGTGATCAGACCCCTAATATTACTTAAGAATTTTTTAATAATGTGGGTGTTTAAGCCAGCTCAGATATTTGGTTTCTTGCAACCACAGAAAATCTGTTTTCACCATTTCTTTCCTTTTATGCCCTCAGTGCCTATTCTCCTCTCTCTCTCTCTCTCTCTCTCTCTCTCTCTCTCTCTCTCTCTCTCCTTGCAGTAACACTGAGAAGTTGGAGATAGCTGACACTGAATACAGTGAAACACAGTGATTGTTTCAGGATTTTTTTATACTGGATGAATGAGATTCACAAAACAGAAAGCAACTCTTCCTAAGTAAAAATGAGCTGACTTTTCCACATCATGTTATTAAAAGAGTGGGATTTTTGTTGTTTCCCTCACAAACAACTCTGATCAATTCTATCTTGGCAATTTATCTACTTAACCTAGGGCTATGTAGTGCATCTGTTTTCTTAGAGCAAATGGTATTGCAATGATAGGGATGACTGGGAGAAAAGGCCTGGGGTCTCACATCTGTTCCTTATTAAAATTCAGCCTCCAAATTGACAAAGCAGTTTACCACAATAGTGGCCCCAGAGCAACCAAGCAGCAAGCAATTAATTTGATTGTTGTGGCTTCCTAGCTAATTAGTGTCACCTTTGAGAAATTTGCATAAAGGAACTGTAAATAGAAATGGACTGGTTCTAAAACTAGTAAAAAGATCATTCATTATGTTACATCTGTCATACTTAAATTTAAATTAGTCTAATAAAATGTCAGAAGTGGAATAATAGCCTTCTGTTTTTGTAAAATGTTTGGAGATTTTGAAATAAAAAGTTCTTTGAAGAGGTAAAGTACTTTAAAAATTTATTTTAGAGTATCTTATTTTAAGATCAGGAAATAATTTACAATCAGTTCAGTGTTTGTTTGGGAACTTTGTACTAAACATACTACCAGTCCTTTGAAAATCAAACGTTCTGGCCAGGAATCAACACGTGAAGAATGTGATTGCTCAAGCTGTCTCAACATAGAGCTGTAATAACTGGTTACAAATTGGTTTGTGGTTGATCATAAGAAGTATGGTGTATTTTTAGTTTAATTGTGATTGGTTGCTTTTTTTTTCTTTCAGCGATATCCAACAGACAAAGCATACTTCATAGCCAAGGAGATTCTTGCTACAGAACGGACATATTTGAAAGATCTAGAAGTTATAACAGTAGTAAGCATTTAAACTTTCTTTAATATTCTTCTTCCTTGGACCAGGTTTTTGAACATTGACCTGAAAAAACAAGAATTCTTTACTAATACTAGAAAGGGAACAAGAAAGTTCTGTGGTAAAAGATAATGCTTAGGCCACATGTAGATACTGTATCTTTTGTCACATAAACCATCATGCATGAGTGCAAATATTCTCAGTGGAACTCTTATTACTGATGGTTCCACTAACCATCCCATGTATAAACTGTATTTTTTTTCCTAGGTAAGTATTTTATTTCCAAAAGTCATGAACTCAGGATATGTTTCTTAAGCAGTTCTGCATTCTATCCATGGCTTTCAAAAACAGATAGAAAACATCAGGGCATGAATTAATCCTTTATAGGTATCATAGTAGTTAGGGTGGGAAGAGACCTAAACAGATCATCAGGTCCGACCCCCTGCCCCAGGCAGGAACGGGTGCCAGGGTCATATCACCCCAGCCAAATATCTGTCCAGCCTCCTCTTGAAGACCCCCAGGGTAGGAGAGAGCACCACCTCCCTTGGGAGGCCATTCCAGAGCCTGGCAGCCCTAATCGTAAAGTAATGCCTTCTGATGTCCAGCCTGAACCCTCTCTCTAATGATTTGTGGCCATTATGCCTAGTAACCCCGAGTGTGGCCTGGGGGAACAGAGCCTCCCCTAATCCCTGCTGGCCCCCCCTGGTGAGTTTGTAAACTGCCACCAGATCCCCTCTCAGCCTTCTCTTGTGGAGGCCGAATATGCTCAGGCCCTTAAGCCTCTCTTTGTAGCCTCTTGTGTAGGCCTCACAACAAATACTGGTTATAGACAGTGCTGATAATGGTATCAGTATTTGTTGTGAGGCCTACATATTTGCTGAGCATCTAGGCTGTGCGTGCAGATGATGCGTTAAAAGGAATATTGAAGAGGTCCACGATCACATGATTGTAAAAGAGGCATCTAAAATGAAGCTAGTAAATCCATATTCAGGCACCCTTAGAAGTGACACTACTTTCAATAGTGCACAGCACTCAGCAGACTTCCACTGATTTGGAAATTCATGACTTGTCCAAAATCAGACCCTCTTTTTCTTTAATTATTCCAGTGTGTTTCTGTAAATCATTCTCATTCAAATACACTGTCTGTGATCTTACTGATCTGTCTTCTGTAGGGATTTTTTGTGGAATAGTTCAGTAGTGTCATGTGACTTAAGTCCTTTCATTTGTAAAGCTCTAGAATTCTTCAAATAATAACTATGAAACACTTGGCACCTCTGAGATACAAGACACTCTCACCTGCCTATGGGAAGACTGGGAAATGAATGTTAAGGAAACAATATTTAAAACAAATAAAGATGTCTCTAAGTACTGAACAACTCAAAACATGTTGCAAGCTTTCTGAAAGAATCATTTGTATGTGTTGAAACAAAAGCAGCTATACCCTACTACAAATGGGAATGTACCAGGTTCATGTAATCTTCTGTGAGAGTGGAACCATTACAGTTCATCACATTTCATATTGGTGGTGTAGAACAGTGATTTGCTTCAAAATGTTTAAAGTTTGGCAAGGATAGAAATTGCACCTGTTCCTCGCTGACCTCTTTCCTGACTGCTTCTCCTCACTTTTTGTGTATGTGAACCTTCCCCCTCCAGTTTTAAATTATATTGGTATTAGCTATTCAATATAACTGCTATGTCTGTCCTCTGCTGTGCTGGCATAAGTAGGTATAAGTGCTGATATAAACCAATATAAATATACCATTGTTATTTTAAAACTATTTTGTTCAAGCTTAAAGTTACACTGATTTAGCTCACTTATGTTAATGTAAGAGCAGGAAGACCTTCCCCAACACCTCCCTCTTAAAAGCAGTTTAAAGGTATGCCTGTCCACATCCCCCCTCCACATCCTGCCTCTCCATCTCTTCAAGAACAGAAATCCAGATGAGACCTGTTAACTTCTAACATGTTTCGATTAACACCTTTTTATCCTTCCTTCTGCAGTGGTTTCGCAGTGCAGTCATCAAGGAGAATGCCATGCCAGAAGGTTTAATGACATTGCTCTTCTCCAACATAGATCCAATTTATGAGTTTCAACGAAGTTTCCTGAAAGAGATTGAGCAGAGACTAGTGCTGTGGTAAGTAATAGTAGCAAGGTGTTTCCTTGGGGAGCCCTTGGAGATCTTCTACAGTTGAAGACTGCACATGATCCTCTTACTTTATACAGCCATATGTTTCAAGGCTGCTTAAAAGGAATAAGTGAAAAAAAGTGCGTATAAAAATATGAAGTATGAAAGGAGGAAAAAAAACAAAGGTGGCGTATTCTTGAAAGGCCACATTTCAAGCATGAGTGTGTCTTCAGTGTACCCTATTTGTCCATATTAATTTGATAGATTTATACCTAACCCAGTTTGCTTACATATTTATTTATTCTTCATGCACAGGTTTTGCACTGCAAAGTGTTGTTCTCTATTCCAAAGATTTCACCCTATTTATCTAGTCCTAATAAAATAAATTAATAAATAAACAGTCCTAGAAAAGAAGGGAAAGGCAAAAGGAATAGGATGTGCTCTTTGAAATGCTTTATTTTATATTAAGTTAATGTATCTCAGGGTAAAGCATCTGGAAACTCACATTTCTCTAAATAAGATTCATCAGCAAAACTGCTAATTTCTTGTGGCATAGCTTGTTTCCGATTTCGGAGAAGGGATTTCTGGGGCACTAACCTTTGTCTTACTTTCTTATGGCATGAGATGTAATGTGCTGGAATCCAGTTAAGCATTCAAAGGCTCTCTTTGTTTTTTGTTGTGTTTATGGAATTTAATAAACTTAGTGATTTTTTTCTGTGTCTTTATAGTGGCAAATCAAATCTTTCCTCAACAGACCTCAAATTTAATGACCTGCCTGTTCTGTTTCAGCTTGCAAAGGCACAACTATCATGACCAAATTGTTTTTGAAGGTCCCAGTCTTCCAACACATTTATTTCAGAGTGTTTCTCAATTTACTCTGGAGAAAAAGTGAGGACAGCACGTGTCTGTCACATTTACTCCAAAGGAAATGCTGTTCTCCAGTGGCATAGTTACTTCTGGGGAAATGAGAAGTAAATTTACTCTAGTGTGTCATCTGTTGGCTGCCATTGTGAATTTTGCATTGAGCGAATGGCTACCCCAAAGTATATGGGCTTCCTTGCCACTTAGTGGCCCAACACTGTGATAGCACTTACTTTGGGCAGCCAGCTTGGGAGAGTTCAGAGTAAATAAACTATGCAGTTGGTCTAATAAAATATATCACCCAGATAAATCCTTGCCTCTCACATAGTTCCTGGACCATCATGACTGCAACATCACTCTTTCACTAATGAGTAAATTGACTGCAGAATTAAACCTAGGATAAATTATTCAAGAGTAAACATTGTGCATGTCTGCACCCTATGATTTGAGGCAACCTTAGTTCTGGAGCAATGGAAGTAAATAAAAATAAACTCAAACAAAGGGCCTTGTCATAATAATTTGTCCAGAAGTCTGAAAGGTTATACTAGCCACATACTGGGCCCACACAACTGAATTGATTTCTGTTCTTTTCAGCCATGTTATGAGATTTTTCATTTTGCTTTGTTGATAAGGTGACCCTAACTGACTGTACCCCAAGGTTTCACTTCAGCAATGTAATTGGAAAGGTAGGTGGATGGAGATGAGTGGGAGTTGTCTCCTTTTTATTATCTAAGAGTTCTTTCAGTATATGCAGATTCCTGAAAAGCCTTGCTTAAAAATAGCCTCAGAAGTAACTAAGACAATCCAGGGCCTTCAGTTTAGCACAATTTCTATATTACTTGTCTGCATGTCTTTCAGGGAAGGACGGTCCAGTGCTCATGTGAAAGGAGATTACCAGCGGATTGGAGATGTCATGCTCAGGAACATGCGTGCATTGAAGGTAGAAAAAAGTTCTGACTCTTCCAATTCTGAGAGGTTGAATGCATTGCCTCCTACTGACAAGGACAGTTCCACTTGGAGAAATTCATCAGTTGATTATGGCTTGGAAACCCATTTAAATAAAAATTTCTGTGTCCTCTTACTGGTTTTCAGCAGACTAAGGGTTTGTCTATGTGGGGAAATTAGCCAGTGTATATGTATAATATAATTATTCCTCTCTAGTTGCACTAGTAAAAATCCCCCATAGAGATATGCTATTCAGGATAAAAGTGACTTTAATCCAGAATAAATACTATGCTTTTTTATTACTCCAAATAATTATTCCAGAATAAAGTAACTTTTATTCAGAGTAGAGCGTTTTCAGGAGGGAGGGTTATAGTGGAATGATAGTGGGAAAATGGCTGAAAATTTTCTAGAAAATCACCGTCTAAGACAGACATCTGCCAGAGAAAATTTCAGCCTGTGGAATTTAAATTTTGGCAGATTTACAGAAAAGTGAAAAATAGGATCATATAATACTTAATGTTAGTCAAGTTTAATTATCCTACCAGTTCCTCTGATAAAATATAGAGGTACACACATACATGATAAGTATCTTTAGAACAAGAATGAGCCAGCCACATTTGAACATATTTACAGATTTTTAATAAAGTCAAAACACATAAATAATATACTTCATGTTGATTTTTGCAAGTAATTAGGCAAGTTTTTATATAATGTAATTCAGGATGTATTGTAAATAAAACCAGGGGTCAAAGGCAGAAGGCTATTCCACATTGACTCTCTTTTTCATATCTATTTTTAAATTAAGACAGCGTTAGGAGATATTCTCCTCTGATTCTAGTCATTCTTGTGTCTGTTGTGATCCAACAGGAGTTTACCAGCTACTTGCAGAAACATGATGAGGTCCTGACAGAACTGGAGAAAGCAACCAAGCGCTTAAAGAAACTGGAAATGGTTTATAAGGAGTTTGAACTACAGAAGGTTTGCTACCTGCCACTCAACACTTTCCTGCTCAAGCCCATCCAAAGGCTTATGCACTATAAACTAATCCTGGGGAGACTTTGCAAGCATTACACGACTGAACACCGGGACTATGCTGATTGCAGGAGTGAGTGACAAAACTGTTATGCAGATGATAGCCAGAGCTCTATTCTATTTATTGGTATTTGTGCCTCAGTGTTTCTTGCTGGATAAAAAGTATTACAGCTCAGAACAAAAGCAACTTTTCTTCCTTTCCCTAAAAAATGTTGTTAGGCACACAACTTACCTTCTCACTCTCTCTCTTGTTCTCTTCCCCACACTCTGTCTCACTTTCTCATGCACATACCCACACACGCATGCTGGCAAACAAACAAGCCACAGATCGAGAGTTAAAATAGAGGCAATGATTTTATTTCATGAATGTGTCAGTTGCTCACTCAGGTATGAAGATAGGGGCCTGTAAAAACTTTGTTTTAAGATTTACAATACAGTGGAGATACATTTTTCTTTTAATGGGTACAAAGCATCCCAGTCCCTTAGGTTTTGAAAGCTGCAGCCGAAGTATATCTTTCTCTTATGAAGAAGTATTTTGTTACCTTTTCTTTATGGGCTTTACAATGCCTTTTAGGTTTGAGACATTCTTCAGAGCTATAAGTCATATTTAGTATCAACTGCATCCTTTCAACATTTCTCCTTCCAGCAAAGGGTTCAGGTGGCCTCTAGATTACCCATCCAGTTTGTGGGATCAGCACCATGCAGACAACTGTCTAGCAGTGAGTTTTCTTTGCAGCAGACCCCATGTTTTTCATCTTAACAGAAGACCTCCTTTGCCTTTTATTTAGCCTCCCTTCAGTGCTACTGGCAGATGCCATTGTAGCTTTCCAAGAACAGGGAGTCTCTCTCTGAATAGCTACCTCTTTGTTCAGCTGCTACTGGGAGACATCAGAGGGCTATACTCATGAGTGGAGTTGATTGACCCTGAAGTTGGCATGGCCTTTGAGCAGTCCTGTGTAGAATGGATCACTTTGTGATCATCTCCAAATGCTGGTATGATTAGAAGCAACTTTCTCCAGGCTATGAAGGAGCTCATGTCTCTAGGCAGCCTTCTGCTTCTGGACACTGTCAGAGCAGCCTGTTAGTTCACTACAGTATATTTCACATCTCTTTAGTACTCTCTACTTCACCCTTATGCAGGTGACTCCCACTGTTAAAAGCTACTGGTTTCAACATGGTAAAGCAGCAAAAAGCAGCACAGGAACAAAGGAAAATGGCATGAAGGCCATCCAGTGATATTCAGTGCACCCTAACACTGAGTACAGGTAGGCCCATCAGAGCAGAGAGATTAATCCTCCATTAACACCAAGTCAATGATACAGTCAAACCACTGCCAGAACCACAGTTCTGTATCCATTTTTTTCTGCAGAATCTGATATGCATGAAGAATTATCTTTGGTTCCATCTCTCAATTCCTGAAGGAAAAGAAGCAATTATTAAAGCTTCAGGGCTGGAGGAGCTAGCAAGTCATTCACTTTACTTGGGAGCCTATGTCCTTTCCTCTGTAGTGAGCCATCAACATGTGATAGACTGCAAAGGGAGGCTGGTTAAGTCACCTGACTGTACACTGCACTTCAGGCCATGAAGTCTGCCTTCTGAATATACCTACTGACATTGGATACCTGAGGGGTTTTAGAGATTTATTTGTGAGCCACAAGAAAAAAAATCACAAGCTACATAGTTACATGGAGTTAAAAATGTAAGGACAAGCAGGGGAAAGAAAGCTTTGGATGGCATTTGATAAGTGGAGCAGGGCTTGCACCATAGGATCCTTTTCAGCAAAGTGCATATTGCCACATATTGGAACTAATACACCTTTTAGGTCTGTGTGTGTCTATAGAAAAAAAATGGAATCCAGGCCTGTTAGGCTGTACGCCCTTTAACTAGACATACAGATCAGACCCTATGGTTTCCATTGAGTTTTTGGAGAGGAATTGAGTGGATCCAGAAGGTGTGTAATGGTGCAGTTGCACCTCCCTTTGATTCCTGGTTCACCCGAAGTTTAAAACTGGCAGTGGCAGCAGCATTGCTATTCAGGCAGCAGGGGGGCAGTCACTTGACTTCATGGCTCATTATAATCTACCTGATTCCTTCTAAACTCTTCATTCCACAGGTGTTAATGACCCTCTCTCCTTTTTAATGGTCTAAATGTTCCATTAATTAAGCTATTCTTTCTTCTGCAATTCTGCTCTCTGGTAGCTGCTCCTGGTAATGTAGCTCCTATTACACAGCCCTGCAGACTTTTTTAACTCTAGCTACCTCAAGTGGGGAAACATTAACTCAGGTGAACAGTTGTTTAGGTGTGGAAATAACTTCCAGTGAAGCATTGGATGCACTGTCAAGATGCTCAAGACAGCTTTATTTTCTTTTATGAATCTCAAAGAGATGTACATTCAATTCTAATGACTACAGGACTAAAGAAACAACACATTTTGACTATTTTTGTCTAGTTTGTTCTGTTTTTTAATACATAATACATGATATAGCAAATTAATGCTCATTCCAATGAAAGTTATACTTGTTTTGTTTTGATCTCAAACTCAATAATATAGCCCCATGCCCCCATAATAATAGTGAAGTTTCTTGTTTCTTTCTATGTGGAGAAAAATGTGTTGTGTTACATCCAATGATGCACCACAGCATCTGCACCCCACTTTTCAAAATCCTAGATTCCCCCATGGGAGGAATATCTTGTGCACTGTGATTGAAAAGGAAGGTAATGCCACAGCTGCCCCCACCTTTCGCCCCCAAGAATACATACCTTAGTGATTATGTTCATTTCACATGCCACTATTCCAGGCATAAGTGTTACCAAATGGGCCTCAGAGAGAAATTACCAGCTAATTTCCTTTCTTTTGAATAGCATGCCCAATAATGCTTTCCTCTCTTGAGCAAATATATAGCAATGAGATGTCCCTTTTGGGCAAGTAAGATTAAAATATTGGGTAATCTCTATGGACTTTGCAACCTAGTCAGAGGAACTCTGAATGGGTAAAAAGGAAGAGCAGTTCTAATATTAGCTCCTGTGATTGACCCCTCTGGAGACTGGATGCCTTCTCTTCCTGGCTAAGGCAGGCAAGCTCAAATACAAATTTGCTTATCAGAAAGACAGAATGCATTAGTGGATAATTATTTTGTCTCCTGGCAGGGCTTATAAAAAGCATTGGTGTGCTCATTCTGCTGATTCAGCAACATTTAAACCAGTGGTTCTCAACCTTTTTAGATTTAAGGACCCTTCAGAAAATGTCAGCTCTTAGTTTTCACTTGTTTTTTTTTACCACAGAAAAATACTAGAGCAATTCTTCTGTTGCAAAGAACACAGAAAGTCCACAACAGGTCAGAATGGTTTTAACACCATGGATGCCTACTTGAAATCTCTGGGTTTATCTTGGGAAGTATGTTTGGATACCTAACACTGCTAGTATTGTGTGGCACCCCACCACACCCTGGTTGAGAATCACTGAATTAAATGTTGATAATAGTAGTCTGCAGAAAGAGCTTTTGCTTAAAATGGTGTAACCTCAAATTGCTAAATAAATCAATCAAATTAATTCCAACACAATTAGAATAATAAAATAGAAAATGCCAATTGGAGGAACATACAACTGGCAAGAATGTTTTTAACTTCAAATCATAATTCTACTTTTAGCTTGTGTGTTAAAATTAATTTTTTAAAAATCCTTTCAGCCCTCCAGCTTGGGGCTTTTTCAGTCTTCTACCATATTCTGGGACGGTGTCCCCCCCATAACACCAACATTACTTTCCAAAGTGCAATTCCTATTTGGGACAATATATTAACTGCTAGTAGTAGAGGAAGCAAAAGAAAATACTGTTCTATTTTCATGGAAAAATCTGTCATTCCCCAAAGCTTCTCTTCTACCTTTGACAGAAGTTAGTACTTTTAACCAAGTTGGAAAATTAGCTTGTTTTGCTCGGCAGAACAAAGTATGGATTTTTTTTTAAGTAGCTTCCTCATGTATGTATTTAAATGTAGCAAACTGTGTGCCCTGCAATGTTATGAGTCTCTGCTTTATTAGTTTCCCATAATTATGAAGTCATCACTGACAAAGATTGTTACTTCTATCTTTCAAACCCAAGGGCTGGTTGCAAGGTAGTTGCTTGTGGTTTTCCAAAGTGTCAAGTAATCACCAGAAACACATCAGTATTCTAAAGCTGCAACTAAGCACCATGTGATTATAATGTGTGTGTTTAAAATTACATTAATCAATTTCAACCTTTCACCGTCGTGTTGGAAAGTAACCAATGATAAAACATTATCAAACTGCTGGTTTGGTCTCCAGTGCATTGACCTGTGTTGTCCTGGCTTCTCCTGTAGGTGCACTAAAGGAGGTCACAGAGATGACATCCCAGCTGCAGCACAGCTTGATCCGCCTGGAGAATTTCCAGAAACTGACAGAACTGCAGCATGATTTGGTCGGCATTGATAACCTCGTTGTACCTGGGAGGGTAGGTAACTTTCTTTGCTTAACTTCCAGAGCCTTTGATTGCTTGAGAACATTCCAGTAACATTTACCTATTGCAGATTTGCCATAGCATATTTTTTACATATATCAGGTCACTCTTCATGAAAAGCCCCTGTAGTGCTTCAGCCTAGATTTATTTATGTTCCAGTCTTATGTTCTAAGTATGGCAGATAGTAAGGAGGTGCTGTGCACAGTCCTAAGATCAGAGGCAGAAGGACCTCATGTCACCCAACAGTGACTGGACTGGCCAAAAACAATGCATAGAAAACAACAGTGATGAGAGAGGCCTCTGTAAAAGCAAGCGTTCAAAGTGTTAAATTTGACCTTGCATATTCATGCCTTTTGGGAATGGGGAGCAGGGTTAGCTCCTAGACATTATTTTTGTACTTGACATGTATCCATTAGCAGAACAACACATCATACACTGCATAGATAACGTGGTGGTGAAGTAAAATGGGATACAAGTGTGTAGTAGCCATTAGTCTAGAAAAGCTCTGTGTAACGTTTCCTTTTTCCCCCTGCAGGAGTTTATCCGCGAGGGTTGCTTGTACAAGCTTACAAAAAAGGGTTTACAACAGAGGATGTTCTTTCTGGTGAGTGCATCCTTTCTGTTGACATTCCCTGCCTTTGAGGCACAGCTTTAAATCAAACTTTGTTTTTCAGAAGCTGAGATGTTGCAGTGTTGATGAGAATCAACAGGCTTTAACAAAGTGTCACTTCAAGTTTTTCATGCTATGTAGAGGATGGTGGCAGCAAATTATATACAAAGGATGATTGTTTACCCACCAGGGAGGTAGGAAACTCAAGAAGCATGTCGCTGTTGAGCTCCAGTAGAGAACTAAAGCCATTGTTTTAACAGAAATAGACAAAATTGGGAAAAACTATATTGTTGTGCTTCCAAAAGATGCAATAAAAAAAATCTGCAGGGGAAAAAATCCCTGGCTCTGTCCTTTAAACCCATGGGTTCTATTTCTTTCTTTTTTCAGTTCTCAGATATGTTACTATACACAAGCAAAGGAGTTACGGGTACCAATCAGTTCAAAATTCATGGACAACTTCCTCTCCATGGCATGCTGGTAAGTAGTTTCTTTAAATGCATACCACAGTATTGGTTAAAGAACTAAGCTGTTGCACACCCAGGTAGGTTGGAGCATTTGCTTTATGTAGTTATGACCTAAAATCTCAACTGCTAGCTAGGAGTAAGGTGCTCACAAACTACTGAAAGCAGCCTCACTGCCAGTTTTGCCAGCATGGTGACTATGGACTACACCAGGGGTAGGCAATGTTTTTTGGCCAGAGTGCCGAAAAAACCGCAATGCCTACCTTGGAAGGTGCTGGAATGCTGACATGCCAGAGGCCGGAGCAGCTGGTTGCAGCCTCTCAGCTGCAGCTGGCCCATGGAGTCTGGTCTGCTTTCAGCAGGGCTTGCAGCCTCCCAGCCACCTGCTGGGAGCAGCCTGGGCTCTGTGGCTGGCAGCAGCTGCTTAGAGCCCGGGCTGGCGGTGGTGTGCCGAGCAAAATGGCCTTCGGTGCCATCCTTGGCACGCGTGCTGGGGGTTACAGACCCCTAGACTAGACCTTTGCCCATATGTTAAACAATGAGCAGTCTGGAGACAATAAGCTTGTTCTCTTCCCTCTGCTAGCAAAGCAGTTAGAAGGTATACTTTGCCTAACCGTTTTCTCATCATTGTCTGAGGCTGATCATGCAATGCTGAACAGCACTGAACATTACTTTTCGCACCTGGATACAATATTGTCCATACGCTCCCTCCTCTCTCTTCTAATGCAGCTGTTCTTTCTCTGTGTTTGGTTTGCAGCTAATAGTACTGGATCCTCCGGTAAGTAATCAGCTGAACTCCAAGTTAGAGTTTCTCCTTTCCAAAGCCACTGGCTTTAGCTGTCATACAGTTACAGATGTGACACTAGCATCAAACCTAGATTTTTATGTAGAGCCAAAATAGACTTGAAGTAGAGACAGTGCTTTTGAAGTAGGTGATTCACACTTGTTGCAGCTGTTCAGTCATACTTTGAATGGAGTTCCTAGCCAACCAGAGATTGGGTACAACCCAGTAGGCTGTAGTGATGAGAGAAACCTTTTTTCTTCCCTTGGTGCAGGTGGAAGAGAGTGAGAATGAATGGTCTGTCCCCCACTGCTTCACAATCTATTCTGCTCAGAAAACCATAGTAGTGGCTGCAAGGTAAGCGTTTCCTTTTCCTGTGCTGCAAGCAAGGTAATATACACTTTCTCTTAGACCCCTTGGATGTAAAGTTTGACCACTGGTTGCTGGAGCTAAGTCCTCTGGAAAGCAAAATTGTAAAAATAAACACTTCTCAGAGCTTCTCTGCCTTTCTTAATGCCGTGCTGCTGCAGGAAAGTGTTTAATTTGACCAATAAAGAGACAGCAACAGTGGTGACATTGCCAGCACATCATTTCTCAAGTCTGTCTTGAAAA